TGGCTTGGTGGGCGTGGCTTGGTGGGCATGGCAGGGGAAGGATACTGTAAAATCTCCATTTCCTCCTGATCAGAGAAACGGGAGGGAGAGAATAGATGCAGGCGGAGCCAGTCAGAGGTGGTATTCAGCAGGTTCTGAACAGTTCTGGAGAACTGGTAACTGAAATTTTGAGTAGTTCAGAGAACTGGTAAATACCACCTCTGACTGGCTCCGCCTGCATCTATTCTCTACCTCCCGTTTCTCTGATCAGGAGGAAATGGAGATTTTACAGTATCCTTCCCCTGCCATGCCCACCAAGCCACGCCCACCAAGCCACACCCACAGAACCGGTAGTAAAAATGTTTGATAAAAGTGAAGTGAAATATAATTTCATTAAATGGTTGGTGCTTCTTGTGTAGACTACTTCAAAAAGTTGAGCCGTACTAAGCACAGGTATGGCCTTTTGATGTTTTACCCTTCTGTGGACCCTCATAGTTCGTATCTGACTCAACTGCTTCTTACAATTAATGTCACCCTCGAATGCTTGCTGATAAATTGGTTTAGGGCAGGGATGTCCAAACTTGGGAACTTTAAGACTTGTGGACTTCAACTCTCAGAATTCCCCAGCCAGGCTCTATTGATGGAAGTTATGCACTTCCTTTGCTCCATATTACTGGCTGTTTCTTAATAAAAATTGGCATGTTTTAAGGCAGAATCAAACCATGGTAAAATGCAGAGAATTTAAGTTTGTTATATTCCTAGCATGTTACTCCTGCCTTTTTTATAATGAGATGCATTAGGTGCTACTATCATATAATAAATCAAGACCATATTTTAGTGCAAAAAATCTACACTTGCCAGTCCTCTATATCTTCCTAAAATCTTCAGTTAGTTTATGCTAAATAATGTGATTAAAGGAAGGAATACACAATACTGTGTCTAATTTTGCTTAAAATGAATATGGTCACTGAGAATGTCCTTCTTATTTTTCCAGGTAACAATTGCAATGTTAAACGTTGGCCAGGATCAAATATCCCTGAGAGTAAGTGTATTCATTCATTGACTCTTTTCAATTGCATCTTCTTGAGCTTGACTGAATGGAACTAATAGAATTATAATTTTCAGCCACTACAAATGTCTTGATAAACGAAATCAATTATCAATTATGAGAGATGTTGAGCAGTTTAAAATAGTTATAAACGAATAAAGGTCTATATGACATAATATGGGTTTGAGAGCAAAGATTTGCAAGGCCTTCACTGTCAGCATTCTTTTTAAAAGATAAAAAGTTAAAACTTCTGGCAATTATTAACATTTAATATCAGGCAATGGACTTACATTTCACCTTGAGTTTTGCATGGAAAGTACATTCTCTCTAGCACAGAAGTAAATAAATAAATAAAAGGGGATTGGCTTTTTGGCTTTTGCACATAATATTTCGCTTACAAATTAATACAAAGAGTATAGAAATGAATTATGCCAAGCCCCATTTTGTCCAGTCAATCAGATGCCTCTGTAGTTTTCACAATCAGAAGATGAAATTCACATTCAATATGCAGCCTATCTTGTGGAAATTTAAGTGACTACCTCTCAAAACCATCCAAGTTACTGAGTACGATGAGATTTTGTGGTCGTTATGCACTGTAAAAAGAAATGGAGAAACTTTCCTTCCAATTAATGTCACCGAATGACTTCAAGAACTTTTATATACTATCCATTTCCAAATTAGGCAAAGTGCCTCACAAAAGCTACATATAAGCTTAATAAGATGGCAGCAAGAAGCGCCTAACAATCTTTCTCTCAAAAAACAAACATGCCAGTTCACATAAATGATCAGCAAAACAGTCTGGTCTTAATCAATTTATGAAAACTAAGGGACTTCTATAACTTAGCAGAAAAGTTATTTCACAGCATAAACAAACAAACACACAAACAAAAGGAGTAGGGAACCTTTAAAATTATCTCCTGCTTCAGGCAGACGGTATCTTCAAAGGAGACACAGTTCTGTAGCTTTCTGGAAGGCAAACAATGTAGAATTTTAAAGATGATAACCAACATTTTGAATTGGACCCATAATCAAATCATATCCAATGCCGCAAAGGTGTCCTACAAAGATGTAGGACAGATGAAAATTCTACTTCAAGCAAGCAGATGGGATGATGTCTACCTGTCAATGACTACTTCAGCTTCAACCACAACAATACACGAGCACACAATAGATACAAATTTAAGGTACACCACTCCAAACTCGATTGCAGAAAATACAACTTCAGCAACAGAGTGGTCAATGCCTGGAAAGGACTACCTGTGGTTACATCCCCAAACCCCAATAACTTTAACCTTAGACTGTCTACTGTTGACCTCGCCCCATTCCTAAGAGGTCTGTAAGGGGCATGCATAAGCCCACTGATGTGCCTATCCTACTGTCCCCCATTATTTGTATCCATTTCCTGTGTTCATAATCATGTTTATACTTATATCTGTTATCTTATACATGCTTGACAAAATAAATAAATAAATTAATTAAT